AAATTTTTACGAAAACTGTTTTGATATGAAACTTATGGTATTCGACTGAATTTTTTATGCTGATTCCGGATATCATATGCATTTTATTTTCTAATGAGCGTTGGATGCTCAAAACCTCAAAGCAGGAGTGCATTTTTCAATACTTTGCGACACCTGCCGAAAATCATTATTTTCTGAGCATTGAAGAAGAGCAGAAAAGCAGAAACACTCTAGTTTTTTCCCTGGCATCTGGTGGTTCGAATCATATGCAAATGAAAATTCTATCTATTAGAACAAAAAGTTAGATAGGTTTGCAAGATTGGGTGGTCGGCGTGGGCCAAGGGACATCAGTCAATTTTGTGTACCGACTGAACTGTCATCAAATTAAATTAAATCAAACCAAATATATTTACTTATACTCAAAATTTGATGCTGAATCCAAATAAATTGGATTAAAAAAAAACGTTGCGTCGAAAAATCGGTTAAATGGTAATTTCTTTCATCAGCAGTAAGATTTTCTACTTTTGTGTCTCGACTAGTACTTCAAAGATTGTTCAAACAAAACTTGCTCCAAAAAAAATTAAAAACCAGATATTCGGAATCCGCGTCCCGAACTCTATCAGAGCATGTATAATTCGTTGAAAAACAAGAGTGCTCTATTTTTGGCCTTCGTGCACCTTACAACCGAATACAACCGTGTACATGCAAGTACAAATGTATTCTCCGTGTTAGTAGTGGGGCTTTCAGTATCTATGTAAATTGTCCAGTACAAGTTGTACCCGTACTGGCGCAGCTATGTATGGGTGGCCTACTGGAGTATTTACCGACAATACAGCTTATGTTTACTGTACTAGAACGGAGCTTATTCAGAATTTATAATATGAAAATGAACTAGCTAGATGATCAAACCCATTCCGTATTTGAATATGCGATGTAATGAAGTTAGAAAGTATTATTAATTTACAAAAAATCAGAGTATCAGAACGTCGCCAATAAAAATGTTAAATAAACATATGAAAATATTCGTTTTCAGCATAATGTTACCAGGTTATTAACTCCGTTTTTATACTCTCTGAGTGACAAAATAGCCAATAACAACGAATCATCTCACTAAGAAGTATTTTTTTTTGTATTAATTTATGGGCTGTTTTCACTGGGTTTCCATTTATGTTGACGCACTCTGATAAGAAAAACTATCATTATAGAGGTTACTATTGCTTTATACTGAGGAGCAAAATAGTATTCAAATACTTGCAAATAATTAAAGTATCCTACAGACAACGTCTGAGGGATATTTTCCAATTTATAAAACATCCATGCTATTAACTGATCGATATAAGAGAAGTAGAGCGCTGTTTACAAGGGGGAAAAGCGATTTATGAGTTTCATGATTTTTCTGAGTTTAGCTGATTTAAAGTGAGTTTGAGAAAACGAAACATTTGCTAAACTAACTAAAAACTATTCCAAGTCATAAATTATTACTGAAAATCATTCAAAGGCACCGAAACTCACGCAAACTCATTCCAATACAGTTAATTTATATTGATTGTAAGTTGAGTTTTACTTTGATTTAAATCAGCTTTTCCCCCCTTGACTGTTTATCTTCTACGTTATATTTTTACTTAGTTTATCCATCGATATGTCAAGTGAAGGGCCGCAGTTAACCACTACGGCTCTTCATAAGACGAAATATGGTATTGATTGTGAAAGTTATGTCCGAAATTTCAGGTAGAAATTGCGAAATAATTGCATTGATATATTGTTCGAGATTCCATTTCAATGAAATTAATAATCATTGAAGCGACTAATGTAGATTTTATTAGGAATGCCTCTCGCTACTGTTCGGTTATTATTTAAATCAGATATTGAAATGAGATAAATTGAACATTTAGCAGACTTGATATGAGTAAATTATGTTCTATCATCCTATTAACGGATGGGGCAATAGTGTTCCATTAATTTTGTTTTTCATATTTCACTACAATGAAGGCTTTGATTTGATATTAAAATAATTGGTATCGCATACAAGGGAATGAACAGACGACAATTTTATTTAAAAAGATCATTGCTCAAATTTGACTTTCCAACGCGAAAACAAACTTTTGTCTGAATATCTGACAGATAAAATGTGTCTTATTCCAAATAATATCGTTTGGTAATACACTCAATAATCTTTCTTTTTCATATAAAACATATAGCTTCTGGTAGTCTCTCACTCAGAATAGAGTTTATTTTTCGACTACTATCGCCAATAATGAAAATTCTGTGGTCTAGATGATATCTTAAAAGTGTTCGTTCGACTATTATAAAACATGTAGAAAAGTTCTTTTTTTTTGTACAGTAATAGCATTCTATCCTTACATATTGAAATATAGATTAGACGAATAAAAAGATAAACTGTCTAATTAGAGAAAGTGTTTCTAAAGTCAAACAATTTGCTCATTAAAGCTAAAAAAACGTCAAGTCTTTGCGACATTTCATCTCACAGAGTTATATCAAAAACAAAATTCATGCAAAACTTTTGCCCAAGCCGTTAGTTTGAATTAATTTTGTCAAAACATATTATTTGTTGTCCAGGAACAGGAAGCCTTGCCTTTGACATGCATGTGTTATGACTTTTTGAATTAATTTTCTTCTGGAGTATAGGGGCTGGATCGCATCTAGTACAAATATATACCTTATTTTCAGTAGAATAAGGCAACATTTATGACCAATATAAAAAATGTGAATTTTTTTCACATTATATACAAATCAAATTGATTCATTTTTTTGTTTAATTAATGAAATTCCAAAAGAATTTCCACGCAACATTTGTGAAAAAAATTATATTAATACAAACAATTCCATAATTTGATTCTTATTTTACGTCGTCGGAGATGAGAAGCCAAAAACAATATAGATTCATTTATTTTAATGTAAACTAGTGAGCTTTTATTAATTCACTCTACTGAAAGAAGGGTATTACGAAAAACAATTAAATGCGTTCGTTCGCTTGTTCGTTCATCCAATAGGAAAACAGATGCATAAAATTAACGAACCTCAAACAATATCCTACAGGGAAAGGGTTGACCACAGGAAACCGATGTCGGGGAACACGATGGCGTTGTCAGTTTTTTGAAATTTTGTAGTTCAAACAAGTTTATAGTGGATTTGGAGCTGTTTAGATCGTCTCATTTTCGTGATGGAAATTCTTTTGTGGGTGCCATTCGATGATGTTTATAGTGTTACATGTATCGTATTGTTATGTGAGATTTTATTACGAATAGGCTATAGGTGTCGTGCGGTGAAATTGATTCTCAATTTAACTGTGGCTAACCGTGAGGGGCGCCGACGAACCACTAGCCGATCACCTGCACTGAGACTTTGAAAGCTTTTTTCAAAGTCTTCAGTTTATTCTTGATATGTCAACTTTTATTGCAGCACGAAGAATTTATTCAAACGTAACTCCTAGAATTCTAGATCAGCGCATATACAAATGGACACGAACTGGATAAATACTCGGGAATATTGTCTCATTCTCCTCTGAATAGTGATGAGTTTATCACATATGTAGATGAAACTGGATTAAATTAATGCCGCAACTGTTGCTTTCGGGTTTTTTCTTAAAATTCTCTTCGTTTTTATCTAATAATTATAGAATGGGGCGCAGCTTTCTATCAATAGTGCACTGCTAAAAATGATCTTGTTCACCGTATATATGAGACAAAATTAGTGGGGGTGGCTAGTCGTGAGTGGCGCTCTGGAGGCGCGCCAACGAACGAGTAGTCGCCCCACTAGTTAAAAATCTGTTGTGATTATAGGACTACAGGCCTTGCAAACTTATTGAATAGTTACACATTGCCTCGATCAGAAAAGTTGAAACAGTTTTCGAAAATATGAGATATCCTGAATTTCTTTCTGACGACAGGTCGTGAAATAATTGCTCAACTCGTGTGAAACATTTGAAATTCATATTTTTCGTCACTATCTTTATAAGTTTAGTTTTTCCTGATTGCGAATGGATTTTATTCAAAAGATGTAAATCTTAGATTTATCTATCTGTGAACGTGCAGGAGGAAATGAATATATGCATGGTAGATGGAAAACGCACCGAAACAAAATGAACCCACATGAGGTGGAGCAAAAATTAGGAAAAATCTAACCGAAATGGAGTTAGAAAAGTGAGTTTGATATTTGATCCATGATTTGCTCGTGCAGATTCATGTTAAATATCTAGTTCATAGACCAGTTTGAGTTGTAACTTTAGTAAAATGGAGTATTTTGATCATAGCTCTCCTGAATCGATATTTTTCTTCACTCCGTCATCGACCTCATTGGGAGTTTTCGGAGCATAGCTACAGCTGTAGCTGGTCGGATGCACTTAACTTTACTATTGCCATATAATATTAGTAAGTAGTAATTAAATGCCGTTTTCTTGGTGATACTTCCAAGCGTGTTTATATTTATGCTCGGTTATCAATCGTGTTTTTCATGAAAATCATTTTGAAGTTATAAAATGTGAAATCTGTTAGCTAGATAATTCAGTATAGCTACGCTATACATGACCGAATCCTTTCAGCAGAGGGTTCGCGACGCTAACGTCGCGTTACCTTGTGTATATAGTCACAGTGGTTATGGGGGTGTAGCTAACACAGCGAAAAACAATGAATACTCAGTTGTTTTCTCTTCCAAATCTGAGTTATAAATACCTAGAATAAAATATCTACTCTTGTAACGATTGTTTTGATTAATAGAGTACTCGACAATACCTATTGTGGTTTCTAATTATTGCAAGTTGGAATCTTGTTAATGCATTTCCAACCACTGAGGGTATGTTTTACATTACGCGACCTTCTTTTTCTTAAAAATGTTCACATTAAATAATAGAAATTTTACCGATAAAAAACTCGTTTGAGGAGCTTCGAGAACGTTACCGGCGGGACGCAAAGGATACCATCACTTGCGACGGTTCTTGCACATGCCAATGTAGTTCAACCGGAGCACCACAAACAAGTGAAGTAACATCAGTTGGCACAACATCATCAACCACAAGTACCTCGACGACTAGTACGAGTACCAGCACTAGCAGTTCGACAACAAGCAGTTCGACAACAAGCAGTTCGACAACAAGTACCTCGACG